ATTCCCTCTTGCCATGGCTGTGGTGTTTCTGCAGCTCGAAACAGTGAGAGAGGGATGTGAGGGCTTTTCATTAATTTCCCAACAAAACAAATGTGGACAGGCAGGATTTGCTATCAACAGAGACAACCTCTCTGCAGAGCTGCTGTTTAATGATATTTTTAAACTGTGTCCTGTTGGGACTGGTGGCAGCAAGTCCTGTGTGGCCTTACAGAGAGGAAGATCTGCTCATTACCAACATCCAAAGCATCAAATGTATATAAACTCATGTGTTCTGACGTGCATGACGAGGGCTGAGCAATATATGGAATTTATTCGACTAAAGGAACATTTCACACATAAAACGACCATCTGTAAGTATATCTGTTATGACGTGTTGTCATTATTCTTATTAATGATTGAATGGGAACCACGTTTAACAACATAAAAACATCCATTTCCAAGTTGTCACACAACTCGTGCAGTATAATCAAAGTCTCATTTATCCAGTTGTATGCTCAGTGCTTCCCAAACACATGCATTTTTGCTTAAACCTAACTATTTAAAACTGAACTGTAAGTGAAACTTGTCTCTGCTCTCCTTGAACCCAGAATCCAATACTAAGGTTTTTAATGAAAATGCATTATGATAAATGAGGTTTAGTTTATACTGCATAACTTGTGTGAGTCTGTAAACGGATGCTTTGCAGGGTGTCTACAGATATAATCAGGTTAAATTTAAGAGTTTTTAAGACCTTTTAAATACCATCTTATATGAAATTTAAGACCACATATTTAAGTACACGTGTAAGTACTCTAACCAAGTAAACATACTGATGTCAGGTCAAAATAAGCAGTAAGGAAAAATGACATCAGTTGGGTGATTTTAAGTTTAATTTGTTTAAAGTTACAATGTGTAATTTACGTGGTTGTTTATTAGCAAATATCAACTATTGCTTTCATAAATATATATTTACTAAAGTGTAATGCAATTCACATACAAACGGAAGCTTTCTCATAGGCTTAGAATGATTTCTCTATATATACACAGGCAGGATTTGAATACAGTGGCCGAAAAGGATATTCGCACTTCGCCTTTCGCGTTTACCTAGAACTTGCCGTCACTGGAGACGGTTAAGGTGAAGATCAATCCGGGGCGCTTCTGCGTGAACCTGCTTTGTACTTGTATGATTCTGTCGCACTTTAAATGGAGGACCACACACACGTTTTGCCCCGTAAGAGGGAAACCACGCCACCAAATTAAAGAAAAAGATTGGATAAGCGAGGACGGGACAAAATGCGAGTGAATATCGGCGGTGCTTATTCCAGGTGGAAAAAAACTCCTGAAGGAGAAGGATTTCAAAAGGGATGCGGCGGTTGCCTGCTTTCTGCTAGACAGGTAATTCAATCTGATATATCATTTTGGCTTCATGTTATATATATAATCATACCAACCTATATTTGCCGCACTGTGCCGTGACTATCACATAAAACGTGTTATTTTAGCATTACTGTGCTAATGTTTGCTCGTGTTACCAAAACAATTAGAAATAAAACACTCCTAACATATATCTCACAGATAACCTATATCTCACTGGTAAGCTATAACATATTGTAACATGGTTTAGATTCCTAAATAAATATTCACCTCGTTGCTAGATACTCCTGAAAAACTCTGCTGTCTGCACAAGGCTTTTTGTCCTACGAGGCCACCGTCAATTACCCGACGGGAGGGGTGAGTGAGTGAGTGAGCGCGAGTGAGCGCTGCAATCTAGAATTTGACAGCTGATATCACTGTTACTCACCATTTTTACACACTGAGGCTTTAATGTAAAAAGAAAACAAAATATCATCCCTGTCATAAATGCAATTTATTATTGCAATATTTAGGGAAATACCGCGGATAAAATTATTTTTCTTCAGTCATTGGATCTGTCAGGCTGGAGAAATTTTTGCAGTAATGTGATCGAAAATATTTAAGACCCATTGAATCTGAATTTAAGACATTTTAAGACTTTTAAAGGCCTTATACTAAGAAAACTTAATTTAAGACATTTAAGACTTTTTAAGGGCTAATACTAAAAAAAAAAACTTAATTTAAGACACTTTAAGACTTTTTAAGGCCTTATACTAAGAAAACTTTTTTTAAAGGACAACTTCAGTATTTTTCAACCTGGGCCCTACTTCCCCATGTGTATGTGTGCGTATGATTCATAGGTACAGCTCGTTCTAAAATTGGTTCAGTATTGAGCCGCGAAACGAGCTAAAACTGTAATGGGGGCAAATGCGTCCTGTATAAAAGTGCTTTTTTTCACCACTGACCGGTTCAGATCGCCAGTGTTATCTCTGTAGATAGCATATTGTAGTGGCCCTGGGGCAGTGGTGAGTGTGAATGAGTGGAGTCAACTGTCAGTTAGTGTTGGAGCAGAGAGGCGGAAGGTGTCCCTGCTCCGTATTGTAAATGAGTATTGCCAGATCGCCAGTGCTATCTCTGTAAATAGCATGCTAACTTAGCCTTTCCCTTACCTCTGGGCTGTGTGATGTCACGAGCTTTGCTCCACTGTGTCTGTAGCTGTCTCTACTCGTGGGACAGCCGTTTTCTTGAGGAAGAGGTGTTTCGGGATTGGATGTCTTCTCTTCTTCGGCTGGCAGTACTCATCTTGGGAGAAGTGAGCACTACAGACCCGATGGTCTGCAAGGCGCAGTGTCTGGACAGGAGTGTTAGCATCCATTTGTAGCACAACTAGCCAAAACTTCAGCATCTCACCGTCCGACAAAGACAGCCTATGAAAGCTGTAACTTACGGGGTGTTGCGCGACATCCTCTTCTTGCGTTCGGGAAAAAGGCCCGTTTATTTGAGCACTCCAAAAACTCCGGTAACACTCTGGGGGGTAGCACGTAAAAGACTCCGTCCTCTGACTCTTCTAGCATAACACACACTTCACACACACTCATTTACATTACCAAGCGGGGACAACTTCCGCCTCTCTGCTCCAACACTGACTGACAGCTGACTCCACTCATTCACACTCTCCACTGCCCCAGGGCTGCTACAGTACGCTATCTACAGAGATAACACTGGCGATCTGAACCGGTCAGTGGCGAAAAAAAGCACTTTTATACGGGACGCATTTGCCCCCATTACCGTTTTAGCTCGTTTCGCGGCTCAATACTGAACCAATTTTAGAACGAGAATGAGTACACATGGGGAAATAGAGCCCAGGTTGAAAAATACTGACGTTGTTCTTTAAGACAATTTAAGATTTTTTAAGGCCACTTAGAAAACTTAACTTAAGACATTTTTAAGGACCTGCAGACACCATATAGTTTTGCTATTGTTAAAGGTGGTTTTCAATCAATCAATCAATCAATCAATAAATATGTTTGTTTTCTATGGAGGCAGCAAAGTTTTCAAGGTCACACAACATGAATAATTGTTTTACAAATGATCATTTTGTGGGTGAAGTATTCCTTGAATTCAAATTTTCGTTTTTTTGCACATTAAGTTCAACACCTATATTGTGGCAAGCCTGTAACATGAGTAGTTACACTATTATTACATGTAACTATCGTGACTCCAGGTGTCCCCTGACTATCTCATGGTGAATTTACCAGTCACATTTAACTTTAAAAGAGGGACAGACTGGAAAAACAAGATGTCAAGAAGCATAAACTGCAGCAGCAGATGAATTAGTGTGCAGATATATCTGTTACATGTGCTGAACTGATTATTTAAGTGTCTAAATAGTGGTACCCAACTGGTGCAGCCACAGGGTCCAGATTTCTCCTTAGTCATTAGTTCAGGGTCCATGTAGTTTGATATATTCAGCGTCATATTTGCGCTTGGTCATGTCATCGAGCTAGTTTGCTGTCTCTGTCAAGTAGCTGCCTGTTAGTCACTCACTCTACAGCAGGAAACAGCACTTGAAAAAAAAAAAAAAAAACCTCTCTGCCAGATATTCACTGTACTTCTAAATAAAGTGTGTTTTGTACAAACTTGACTTGGTGGTCTATTTAAAAAAGGACCTGCGACCCACCAGTTGGGAACCACGTGTATGTTCTACTTGGGTAAGGGACCAGATAGTGACTGTCCATAGCTGAACAGAAGTTTTTTGAATATGCATGACAATGACAGCTTTGCAGGACAGCAGGGCATCTATTATTTTTGCATAACTGTCTTGTGTATATAGTCCGACGAATAAATGTGTTTAAATCATCAACTTTCTAGGATTTTGCAGGAAAAAACAAAACTGTGACTCAGTTCCAAGCCTTGGAAAAAAAAAACAGAAAATGAGGAGTGTTTGGTCCTACACAGCAGATATGTGTCTTGGGATTGGATCCACCTGATTTTTGATATTCTGTCATCCACAATGAATCTACAACAAATCACTGCTGCCTTGAATACACCTCCCAAACTTGCACGATATTCCAGGAATTCCCTGACCAATAGGACCCCTGCAGGCTCCATGCTTCGGCCTGTCAGAGCAGGCTGCTCTGTTCCAGCTGCCCCTACAACAAGGGGTCAGTCTGACCCAGCGGGGCCGATCAGACCTCCCACACTACTGCCCAATGCCGTTATCCTTCTCAGAGGACGCCCAGGCCGCAGGAAGCCCACTAACATATCTGCTGTCCAGCTGGGACAAGCAGATGGGGAGTGACTCCACTTTGCAGAGCGCAGTTAAAACAGGCCAGCAGTAGCCGGGAGGGTTCAAAGAGCTGAGTTATGGCCTAGAGGTCTGTGTTGTAAACCTGAGACCTTCAGGGAAAAACAAGGTGTTGACACGTGAGGGAAAATAGACTTTTATCTCCCAGCGACAACTGTTTATGTAGCCTTGAGGCTAATTTACCAGCTAGAAAAGCCTGCTGGGCAGCTCCCTGGATGCAGTGTTAACAGTGTGAGGCAGACAGTGTTAATGTTCGACCTCAGATGGCCAATTAACAGACGTGACAGTAAAAATAGACACTGCAACATTTTAAATTTAAAAGTAAGCCTGCAATCTTTGGTGCCAGCTGTGTGTCTCTTACCTGTCTGATGAAGAAGTCCCCGTGGATCAGGGACACTAGGCCAAAGTTGGTGTATTTGAACACATGGTCCATCAACCACATCATTTTTTGTACCACCTGAAAAAGGGAGGAGAAATACAATGAAAATCTCACACCTGTAAGCAAAAGCACTTGATTTTGGCTTTAGAGCCAGTGCCCCAAAACTGGTACCGCCCCCTCTGAGCACTTCCACCCTCATGACCTGCACCGATGCAGCTTTGGCTTACTGTCCTTTCAGTGCTAAGAGGATAAACTGGGCCAGGGATGCAGTTGTTGAGGCAGATCATGCCATCATGTTTGTGCAGCGCAGCTCGGCAGCTCCAGTGCAGTGCCAGCCTCAGCCCAAAAAAAAACAAAACAACAACAAAAAAATAAACACACAACAACACAGCTGCCCCCGCCATCCCAGGATTCACAGCCAATCCCCAGCATGGTTTGGGTGGCAGGACAGCATGCTGCACGCTGTGAATGTGAACTTGACTTTCTATTTTCAAACTCACTTCTGCTGTCGACAGCACATTTAAGTAAAAAGAAGCTATTTCTGTAGTGATTAATGTGCATTAAATTAATTATGTGTAGTTGCTACATGTCAACCTCCGCAATTAAGCAAGCAGCTACGCGCCCAACAATGTCTGATTAACACTGAGGACAAAACTGATCAGTCAACACAGCTACAAAGTGACTGACACAACAGTCTGGGGTTGTACGTTTTGTAGTGCGCTGGCATTCCTGTCTCAGGAAGGATGCTTTCACACCTAGAGTTGTCTTGCTTTGGTCCAAATCAGGGACTAATTTTGTTACAAAGTTGCATAATTGCCTAGAGTTGGTTCGTGTTCTCACGACAGCATTTACAAGTGGACCAGTGAAATGTCTTGCACGAGAAAGCTGCTCTTGATTGGTCAGAATTTCCATGCGGGAAAAATCCAGGAAGTAAACAAAACGTTGAAGAAGAGTAAACTTGCAAGATAAATGTGACACTTTCTAATGTCACAATGGAGGGACAACTACGCAGGTTGATTTTAGCGCTGCTCATCGTGGACTATATTGCTGTCATTGTTCATTTTAGTCAAACCATACAGTTTGAAAACGAGGCGCGGCTCCAACTAGAAAACAATGTTTTGATGCATTGGATGTGCTGAATGTGCATATTAAGGCAGTACAGGAGGAGGTGCACATTAATAATCCTCCAGGACTGTAACATGCTCATGTTTAACCCAAACAATGTGTCATGTGACTGCAGTTGGTTCAGATGCAGGTCAGAACACGTTCTCACCACAAACGAACCGCACCAGAGTTCGTTTGTAACTGGACTGAGACCACCTCTTCAAGAGGGTCTCAGTCAACTATGACACATATCAACTCTTAAAAATCTAAAGTATACGACCTAATTCAGGAGAAACTCAGCAGCGAGACATTCGCCATGATCTGTTTCAAAGCGGCTGAGATTGTCACGACAATGAGAACAGCTGCTCCACTTTAACAGTCCACCTTAAGAGAGCCTGGTCAGATTCAAATGGGAGGCTAACTTCGCTCCCTAACTTCAAGGCTAACTCCCTTCAGTTTAATCAGCAGGTGGTAAGCTCGACACAGGGTCTTGAGGAGTTGTTGCATTTACTCCCTGCTCTGGTTGCTGAAGCCCCACTGTCATGCCTCACCGTCATGCCTCACCGTCACACACAGACTTTCTATCTACCACTTTTAATTGCACACATGGCACTGAAATGAGGCACCGAAATCTGCATTGTGCTTTGGTCCGGTAGATACCACTTGTATAGGAACCATAACTGCACCAGGTTTCGATGCCCAGCCCTAAGTATACTCTGCTGAAGTCTTGGGCCAGTTACCTTTCAGTTAGACATGTTCAAATTTTCTCTTTGTACAGTCTTAAAACCACACAAGGAAAGTATCTTAAAACTTTGAAAATGTTTCTCAGCCACAGCTCTCTCTGTAACACCACATTTTGTGTGTCAATACATCCAATTAAACAATACAGGAGCTGCTGCTGATGTTACGCTTATGCTGCCAGACAACTATGTGAACTTTGTAGCTCTACATGATGTGCCGTTTTCTGCCAAGATGTACTGAGTGAAATGAACAAGTATTATATTTAAACTCAGGAAGAGTTGCGTGTTTAAGTGTGTATGTGTGTGTACACACTGATGTTGGGACATGTTTCACTGTGGAAAATGATCAGTGTGAAAGAATGCAAAGCAGCCACTGCTTGAATCTCCGCGCATCTGTTGTCGGCTGCCGGAGAAACTCTGCTAAACGCTCAAACTCGCATTTTGTGATTTGAATGCAGCAAACCACAGCACTGCTTCGTGAGGCTGTCTGTCACTGTGCACTGTGTCGACTGTTTTGACTTGAAAAACACATCGTCAATCACTTGGGCTCTCTCCTGTTCAACACAATAAACTCCCTCCTGCCATATTCACTGTCGAAAAGTCACTATGTGAAACAGAAAAACAAGTTGATGATAGAGTAACTCTGGAATGCACTCATAGTGTAAGATAATTCACAGTTGACCTTTCTTCTAATCTGTATTGCACCTTGTTCTCATACACAGCTATGATCTGGCTGAACAAACTGACAATTAAAACATTGGCTAACCTCTGGCAAACATCCTTAAAGCTAATTTAATTAAGTTAGGGTTTTTTAGAGCAGTGTGTGTGATTCCAAATGAACCATTTATTTGCAGTAACAAAGCCTTACAAACAAGCTCAGACAGCAGCCTATTCACAAAATTTCAGACAGTGCCAAGTACCCTGCAGGTTCAAACTGCTGCATGGCCTTTATCTACACAGATGTGACACAGCTCAACCTCAATGTTATATTTGTGGATTTCCTAAAAGGGATACAATGAGGTAACGCTCTTCTCTGTACGCTCTTACCATGCCCTTGTCCTGCAGGCACATCATGAGGGTGCACACATCTCCTGTGGATTGGTGGTTGACGATGACCATCGCTTCTTCTTCAGAGATGGGCCGTACATCGTCACCCCACTCCGTTACTGCGGGGCGAAAGGAACAAACACATTACTGTTAAACAGGATGCGCCAAGAACATCTTTTACAAGAGTCCCGTGGAATTTTCTTGTAAACAAAACAGTTTAAATTCAGTGTTTTTCACCAAAACTCTCTGTGTTTATCTTTGAGGTCGAACAAACATGCTGAATTAATTTTACCTCCTCATAAAACAAGCAGTTAATATCTTAAATCATGCATTGCTACTTCTCGGCACATTATCGTCACCAACTGTCAGGCAGTGAAACAGTGTAATGCCAGTTTCACACTACACAACATTTCTGTCTGTTCTAACAGTCACTATGTCACATTAGGCGATTGTAGAGTCATAAAATCGTGCCGTCACTTGGCCAACAGACATGACAGACTACACAATGGTCCACACCAATCATCCCTGGTCTTCGTTCACAACGTGTGTGATGTCATCGGGTAATTCTTGTCCTATTTTTATTACATTTGCTATGATTTCAGTCACTGTGTCTGTTCATGTGCCAGCTGATGACAGGAGCTACATCTGAAGCACTGCATGCAAACGTGCAAGTCACTGAATCCTCCACAAGTTCCTGCAAATATTTCACAATAAAAGCCCATTAAGAAAATGAAGGGATTCTCTCAACCGAGGTTATAAGGGGCTTTTAATTTTAAATGGGTACAGGAAGTGTTGAGTTTGAAACAACACCGTGATGCATTAACTTCATCAAGGTCTGTCAGTTTCAAATGAAGCTGGCACCCTCTGCATCTTTTAGTAGTAAAAGCCCCGCCACTATTTTTTAATTTTACTCCTTTATATCCTCCAGTATTAAGAACTTACGTTGTTTGCTAGCTTGATGCTAATGGCAGTACTCACTGGGTTGCTAAAGTGCCTCTGCTGTTTAACACAGGCATTTTTCCTTTTTTACCTTTTTAGTCTGTGTGGTAACGTCCCTAGAGGAAACATCAAAAAGGCTGGGATGTTGCTGACATACATTTGTCCAGTCAGCAGATCCCACTGTGTTTCTATTGGTCAAAGTGACGGCTGTGTTCGAGGAAGTCATCAACGACAAAAAGAAATCAAACATGCTAGACTTTCTGTTGGAACGTCATGAGGCGTCCCAGACGTGACGTCATTCATCATCTACTATGACACACTACACAAGATAAAACGATGGATTATCGCATACGACACTCGTTGTCATTTACTTTCTGAGCCGACACTGTACAATGCTGCGTCGGGCTATAATCGGGCAGGAATCTGCCGGCCAAAACCCCAAATGGTCCCTTTAAATAGAAAGATCTCAGAGTGCATACCTCTGCAAAAAAAAATGCTGATAATTTCTGAAATTTAAATATTAGAAAATGTTTAATGGATGCAGCTCTGGTTCAATATCAAAATACACACTGACAGACATCACAGGATACATTAAAGTTTCATTCGAGTGCAGCACTCCATAAAAATGAGTGAAAATGTTCAAAAACACTCTCTTATAATGTTTTGAAAGTATTCTGAAATCCCTGATCTGGATCCATGTCAAAACCTCTCTCCACCAAACATCACTGAGAAGTATTGACAAGGTTTTAAAGGTATTATGCAAAGTAATAAACACACACTGAGACCAAAAACAAACTCTTTCCGACAGCAATAAGTTTGCTTTAAAAATCTTGTACTGCCTGACACGTGTGCCTCTTTGTGTCAACACAATTTAAATTAACTAAGGAAGAACATGAACACTGCGATCCAATTTGGCTGTATCAGCAGTGAATGTTACATCCTTCACAGTCCGTGTGTCTATTGTTGTTAAATCCACAAGTGTCTTGACACTCCCTCACTACAAACTCTAGATCTGAATTTCCTTCCTGCCTGGTTCAGAGAGGAAACGTTTATTTTCCATACTTCTTCCTTCTACAAGTGGGCTAGAAAATCTTGTACACTTTGCTGTTAACGTGGCGAAATGAGTCTCAGATGATTATAACATGTAAAGGAAACATTTAAAGCTAGATTTGAAGGCCTTTTGCCGTATTACATTAGTCTTCATGTGTATTAACTGATGTTAAAAAGGGAATCACAATGTGTTGGCTATGTGGTTTGAAATAAGAAAGGAGAAGTGAGTTTCAGGAAACGATATCACAATCACTCTCACTATTGACCAATCTGAGCAGAGGAAAGGAAACAGTCCAGGAAGTTACCACCTTGCAGTTGTATGCCTCCACGAACTACAGTATAGGTTGTAAACCACGCCCCCTCTGTGTTAGCAGATGGCATACATTTCAAATATGGATGTTGCTACAAAGAAGCTCTAAATTCTGAAACATGGATGCTTCTCACACATCTTCAACCCGGCAGCACAGACAATACAATGAGCACAGTTTCAAGGTGGACACCCAAGATTCGTGTCACCAATTCAGTATCTGAACAAATGTCTCCTCCTCTCTTCCTGCGATATGACATTAAATAATATCCAGGAAAGAGTTTTTGCAGAACATTAAGCAAGATTTATACTTCTGCATCAATTTGATGCCGTACCTACGCCGCAGGCTCTGCGCAGACGCATACTATATGTTGTAGCCTACGTAGCCTGATGTACATCTCCCCAGAAATGTAACCACACACCACAGTAACACAGACCTCCTGTTTATTTTTGTCGGCTAAAAACCATTTCCTTCAGTGGAATCACAGCTTATATTCACTTTCATTTCACAGATACTAAACAATAAATTGCAAAAACAATTAAAGCCGCAAGCAGCGATGAACGGGCCCTCGCAGTCCACACGCGTCGGGGCATGCTGCCGTCGGGGGCCGTGCACCTAGAAGTCTTGTCAGCTGTAATAAATAAAAAAATAAACGTTATCTCTTACTTACATTTCCAGTATACAGGTAGGCACCCAACCCACGTATGTATTTTTTCCAAAAAGTAGAAGCTGAATACATGCCTAATAGTTCAAGGTTTTCTGACTCTTTAAAAGTTGACATGGTGTCTCTAGCTCAAAGTATGAGGGACAAGAAGAGGTTGAAAGTCGATGAGTTTTGAAGAGGATTTGAAGATTTTCCAATTTACTTCCAGTCACACTAATTAGACTGCCACCAGAGCGCCACCTATTGGCCGATTTGCACCGAATCTTGCACAAACCCTCATCAGGCCATGGAACACAATCAGCAAAAGTGTTGTGGTAATCGGACTGTATTTGGTCAAGATATGAAAGACTGTCTGTTTTGAACATAATGTGCAGGAATTTGTTGTTTTATATTTTGGGCGTTTTTTGGATGATCAAAATTCTTTTGATAACTTTTTGCCAGGAGGGTCCACAGATGCTTCATGCAAAGTTTGGTGCAAATCGGTCAAATCACCTAAGAGGAGTTTTTCATTTGTCGCGATTTAGCGAATGGAAAGTTACCGCGAAAGTGGGCGTGGTTTACACCACACAATTCAGCTGAATTCAGAGAACACGTAAATAGAAGGTTTAACAATGTGCGACATATTATGTGGGAGTTATTAGCCAAAAACTCTTTTGCATTGAAAATAGCTCCACCTGCTGGTCATTTTTGGTGTGTGAGTTACAGGGGCCAGTCTATACCACCCCTATCTATTTCATTTCCATAAGTGTTATGGTGTTGGCACAGTGCCAAATATTAAATTAGACGGCCACCAGAGCGCCACCTAGTGGCGGATCAGTAAGTCCTTCGTCAGATATCCTCAGGAGGGCATTGACAATAACTATACCAAGTTTCGTGTTAATCCTCCCAATCGATGTTGAGATATAAAATACTTCAATTTAAAGATCACCACCTTGTGGTCATCACCGGAAACTTTGCACAGAGCCTCAGGGGCTCATGGGGAAGTGGTAACCTGAGTTTCATGTCATTCGGATACACCAATGTGTAGATATGCAGCACTTCCTGTTTAGAACGAAATCTGCAGGAAGCTGCTATTTAATAACTTCAGTATTTTTTGGAATATCAAAATTCTTTTAATAACTTTTTGTCAGAAGACACAACAAATGCTGTGTAAAAAGTTTCGTGCAAATCGGTGAAATTGCCTAGAAGGAGTTTGAAAAAGTAGGTTTGCGATATTTTGTGAATTTGCGGGTAAAAAACGGAAGGCGGAAATGGGCGTGGCCTATATCACAAGATTCAGCACAATTCACTGAACGCGTGGATATAAGGTTTTTGACTGTGCCACAAAGTATATGGGAGTTATGAGCCAAAATGCACTTGATTATAAACTCCTTGATTATAGCGCCACCTAGTGGTGGAAATTCAGGACAACAATAGATTATAAAATTTTTCGCCAGGTGTGATTTATATTCCAAGTTTCATGAGTTTTGGGGTATGTTCAGGCAGTGAAAAATGCGATCCTTTTGGACAAAGAAAAAAAAAAAAAAAAATCATTCGAAAAACAATAGGGACCTTACAGGTCTGTGACCTGCTCGGGCCCTAATAAAGCTTCCACACAATGGCATTTTAGGTCCAGTGTGTGACTGTCTACATTTGAGTGAAGAAAAACTCCCGCTAGCTGCAAGACTAATTTATACAAAGTAAAATAACCCTAGGCTTGTGTTAGTAATGTTTGCATGTTGTATTTGTGGGGAAATGTGTTAGGCAAAAGACAAGTGCTTTGTCTGTGGATGCTGTGAGTTATAATGGAGCCAAATTGTGCACGTGGGTTTGAAACTGTCACTATTAAGCCATGTTTAATGTGTGTTTAATGTGTTTTAGGTGTGTTTTGAATGAGTCAAACTTCACAGCTTTCCACAGAAACCCCACCACCGACTAGCGTTTTGGAGGTGTAACTGCAGAGTGACAGACACACTACACTACACTACATGAGTATAAATGATCAGCTACAGCATAAACTATACGTAGAACCAACACACAGCTATAAATCTGCCTTCATGATGTCACATGGAAGTCGACCTTTGACCTTGTGGATATAAAATCCCATCACTTCATCATTTTAGAGAAATCTGGTCATAATCAAAATATGAATTCTTGAGTTATGGCCAAAAATTAGCTT